GTGTGGCGTGGCCAGCAGGACCAGGGAGGTGATAGCGCCCCTGTACTCGGCACTGGTGAGGCCACACCTCGAGTACTCAGTTTTGCGTTGGGCCCCTCACTACAAGAAGGACATTGAGGAAGTTGACTGGAGCGCATCCAAAGAAGGGCAAGGAAGCTGGTGAAGGGTCTAGAGCACAAGTCTTATGAGGAGCGGCTGAGGGAGCTGGGGTTATTTAGCCTGGAAAAGAGGAGGCTGAGGGAAGACCTTCTTGCTCTCTACAACTACCTGAAAGGAGGTTGTAGTGAGGTGGGGGTCGTTCTCTTCTCCCTAGTGACAAGTGATAGGACAAGAGGAAACGGCCTCAAGCTGCACCAGGGGAGGTTTAGATTGGATATTAGGAAAAATTTCTCCACCGAAAGGGTTATCAAGCACTGGACCAGACTGCCCAGGGAAGTGGTTGAGTCCCCATCCCTGGAGGTATTTAAAAGACGGGTAGACGTGGTGCTTAGGGACATGGTTTAGTGGTAAACTTGGCAGTGATATGTTTATGGTTGGACTCAATGATCTTAAGGGTCTTTTCCAACCTAAATGATTCTGTGATTCTATGATTAATGAAAATCCTGTGTTTACTCAAGTTCACAAATTCACATTAGGGAAAACATTTCAATTTGAAGTATATGGCATCAAAAGCAGTAAGCAAAGCGTAAAAGACATGAAAAGAAATTGCTCACTGCTCACAACAGGTAATATTTGTATTGGGTTTTTGGTAAATACTGATTAATTTTAGCACTGTAAGATTAAAATTCTCAACTCAGAGCCTTGCACTTGAAGGCGTTCAAATTTTTGTCTTCCCTTATGGTAACCAACAATTTCAGCTTCAAATTTCAAGCCACGTAGTGGCACATAGCCATCACTCCACTTCAAGCAAAATAAGAAGGTGTTTGGTGTTGCAGTCTTGACATTTTAACACCACAAACACATGAACCCTTGAGCTCTACACCACACAGTCAGAACTTAGCAGAGCTCCAGCTTGGGCTTTGTATTGCCATCTCTATTCACTGAATGGCCAGAATGATTACAAAATGAAAAGTTGTTCTTAAACTAGTATGGGCTTGAATAGAGATAAGGCTAGAGCAGCTGTTACATTTCCGAAGGCTGTTTATACAGGGCTCTCAGTAGGTATCTAATCCTTCGGGAAAAGTGTCATTCAGACGATGCTAATTCAGCCTGTGTATCAGAAAGCTGAGGTACATCAGAAATAATGTGGTTTTTCTTTGAAATTAAAAATACCAAGCTCCAAGAGAATTTGCTCATGGTATGCGATCTTATAAATCCCATTTACTTTTAGAGTACAAATATGCTATCACTACAGTTCGCGACCTTTTAAACACGTTTGTCTTTTAACTCTGATTTGTTACCTTAAGAATTTTACCATCTGATGTTCCCAGAAAGGCCACGGTATGCCCATTCTCCACAGCCACAGTGACAGCCGTGAGATTCATCCCTTCTTTTTGTAGTACCGGCTTCTCTATAACACCATTCTTACTTCCCAAAAGGTACGGCAAGTGTTCGGAGCCACAGGGGAAATTTTTGCTTGCATTCTAATAAGGAATAGCAATACAGAGCGATGTTAAACATTCAGATCACTAATTCCTAGCTAAGAATGAAGTGCAACCCTATTACCAGAGAGTATAATACCCCTCAGACATAGAAGAGCAGAAAGAGAGAAATGGATTGTCTGGCCATTTTCCCCCCAGCCAACAGGCAGCAATCAGAAAGCAGCCTGATAATTGCAAACTGCTTCAATGCTTTCACTTTCCAGGAGACATGGGGAGAGAAAATTTTTTGTTTCTCTTTCATTATAGCAGCACAGTTTAAAAAGTAACCAGTTTGCTTAATTAAAAGGAACATGTCATATAGATCGGGTTGACCAATTTTGTGTTGAAGACTGCTTTTTAAATGCTGTTTTGTTTGTTAATTTGCTGCTATCCATAGAAAAGCAACCCACTGGCAACCGCCTTGTGAAATTCAACACATTCCCTCTTCACTATGCTTTAATCGTGAGCTGCAGGGAGTGGCACCAGAAGCAAGTTTATTCACACCTTGCCTTTCCTGCTATATTTGGTAACAAGACTGTCTTTCTAATTTGAAATCCACACCTCCTTTTTGCTGGATGCTACAGCCACTCCACTTGTTGCATTCAGGATTTCTATGTTTGATGCTCGCCTCAGACGCTGGATACTGCAGTGAGTAACACTGGTGTTTGGAAGCAGAGTGTTCTTTTGGCTTCTTATCAGTGCTAGTGACCTATCATGTGGGAGAGGGCTGTGGTTTCATGAGATGAAGGATTCTGGGTCAATACCAACATAAGGTATTCCCATGCCCCATCTCTTCTGCTGTTCACTCCTACCCCTGGACTGTAGAGCGCACCACTTCTCAAGCTGTGCTCAAACACGTGCTTATGCAGGTGTGTAACTTGCTCAGGTTGGGGAATTAAGACATCCTCCTAAAAGCTGGCTGAGTTATTTTTAAGATGATTCAATTCCTCAACCCAGTTTAGGGTTGGCTGCAGTAACGAATGGGATGCACAAGCAGGGCTTGGGAATAGCTTGAGTGGTGGGGGCAAAACGTCATCAAGTCAACAGAAATGCTGACAACTGCCTCTCAGAGGCGCAGCCATAAATTGAAGAACAGTAGCTGGAGAGGTGTAACAGTGCCCGCCAAAAACCTTATAGACAAGGTAATGACAAGCCATAAAAAGAAAAGAAAGATGGCCACTGTGCTATGGAAGTATTTTGAGCCAGAGCAAAATATGAATACTACCTGAATATAAGAAACATGAGTATTTCCAGTTATCTGAAAATTCAAACCAAGTGAGAAACAACACTGAACTCCAGATATCACCTACAAGATTCTTAATACCATTTAAAAACACTACAAATATATTGGCTGAGACCAGAATTGCCTATAGTGATCATCCGGAAGCTGATCATGGGCGTAACAAATCACTGTATTTGACTCAGTAATTTCCATACCAGGAGGAACCCTTTAAAAGAAATGAATTTATGAAACCAATATTCATCTTTCAGAAGCAATCAAATCCTCTTTAAAAGACTCAAAATTATGACTATCTTGCCACTTCTTGCTTGACCTGTTCCACAAACCCCCAAACCACATTTCATTTCTATAGTGAATCCAGCTACTGAGTTTTCAGTCATCTGATTTGACTATAGTTTAGCTCAAAGCCACCCAAAAACATGCAGTTGTGTATTTTCCACTAATTCTAACACAGATCCTAAACCATCAGTTTTAGAACCGATATTACCAGTCCATGTGATGCACACGGGTTTTCTGTTGCAAAAAGTTTGTAAAATGAGCTGGTGTTCTTTTTAGTGTAGCAATCGTTCCGGTTTTTTTCCATCTTTTCATTGATGTGCCGCAAGGAAAACACACACATGGCAGATTTTAGAGAGCCGTTATCTTTGTTTACTTTGCTGAAGAGTGCAAGAAGAACTTTGTCATCTGAGAGAGTATCTGTAGTTTGCCTCTGCTGAGCCATGCTCTCAGCCAGCTCTTCTCCTGGTGTAGTGACATAAGCAGAATGACAGTGGTCGTAGGCACCATCATCATCTTTGCAACCCAAGTCCATTTCAAAGTAGGAATAATAATGGGCATCATCTTTGCACAGACGCGCAATCAGTGTGCGGTTATTGACGGGCTGTTTCTCTTGCTGATTAAAAATAAAATAAACATAATTTTTATCCTCAAAGACTGCCACAAATTGTTGTGTGCTTGACGAGTGATAAGCTGACTTAACAGCTGCCGAGTCTGTGTACATTTCAAAAATGTCTTTTCCATCCCTTTCGTAGAGCTGCCGAGTGCTGATTATTATCCCATTATCATTTGGTCCATTCCCTTTCCCAACAAACAGCACTCGGTCGTTATTCAAGGAAGTGATCAATCCCACAGTCGATACATTCTCATCGTTGCTTGCTACAAAGGACTTTTCTCCACTAGTGTCTACATAATGCTTCACATTGCTAATGTCGTCTAGATCTCTGATGGCACAGATTCCCTTAAAAAGGCTTCCACATACCACAATTGTTTTATCCGCCTTGTTCAGCAACAGTAATTTGTTATAATTGTCAGTCAGTACTGCCTCTTTACATTGATTTTCATCAATGGGAGGTGTGCACTTTTTGTTGTCCTTTCTTGGACCTGTTTCTACAGACCTTCTTACATCCAGGTTTTCTGTAAGCTGATACAGAGCATTTACCACTCCCAGATAGATTATCCCAGTGTCATTATCCACTGTTAGGTGATTTAGCTCTGTAGCACTCTGAAAAAATTTCAGTTCCTCAGTTCTGGATAAGGTGACGCAGAAACAGCTCAAAATGCTCAGTGTCCAGATCCATAAAGCCATTTCTATGAATACCTAAAAAGGGAAAGAAAAGAAGAACATGAAACCTATTGAAAAATAAAATCTACACAAAATTCAGCAACATGAAGGGTTTTTTTCTTTCATGATTTCAGACACAAATACACTTATCCTTATACATGTGTAGACATCATGAAGATTATGGAAAGCCTCAAATCCTGTTAATTGCCTAGCAATTTAATATGTTGGGGAAGGATTAAACAAAGTCATATGTCTAATTGATTATCATATAACCAATTAGACAATCAATCCTGTGCTAAAGCACAATGAGAACAACAGGCAATTTGAAACAACATAGAGTGCCAAGAAGTGGTAGTGCTTCTTCAGACAGTTTTATACTGTGTGAATTATTTATTGCTGAGATTTTAAAAATAAGCTGGAGGATCCCAGTGTTTTGGGTGGCTCCTCCTTAACAGAGGGGGAGAATTTACATACAAGTGTTCGAGACATTTGGTGTTGCAGGACTTTCCTCAGAAAGGGAAAAAACCTTCCATTGACTACAAGTAAGTCTGGATCTGGCTGCTGATGCTCTTCGAGAAGGCGTTACACTAATCCTTCATCAATGTAAAGCTGGAAGACGGCAGAGCCCTTAATATGCAACGTTGCCTCTGACTGCTGGTATGCATTACAGTCCAACACTTCAATTCACTTGAGCACTGCAACTTAATAGTTTCAAATCTGTCTTAAGAACATCACTTAAGAGTTTTATGGGCTTAAGATTCTGTTACTGGCGTTTTTCCCCAGAATTTTTACTTCCCAAGCAGATCGTATGGCTGTTTGGAATTAGACAAAGACCTTCTGAAACTTATAAGAAGGGCTCTAATTTCAACCTGAAGAGTTAAATGAGGAGGCAAGTCCCAACTAGCTTCTTAATCACAAAACATTTTGTCAATGTTTTCTGCAAGTGTTTAGTTCTGAGAGCAGAAAACAGAAGGTGGCATGCTTGGACACACCAGTGTTAGGGGGAAAAGATAAATACTGTTTGGGGGAAGTACTGAAAAACAATTATGATCCACAGTATTTTCATTTTCAAAGTTAGCCATCTGACTCAATAGTCTGATGAGGAAAGAACCTGTAAACTTACAAGGAATCTCAAGTTAAATCTGAATATATCTGGAACTGTGAATACAAAGGAAAAAAAAAAAGCCCAGAAAAGACAAGAGAAACAAGGGCCACCAAGATGATCAAGGGTCTGGGAAGGCTGCCATATGAGGATAGGCTGAGAGTGCTGGGTTTGTTCAGCCTTGAGAAAAGAAGGCTTAGACGTGACCTCATCGCCATGTACCAGTACGTAAAGGGGAGCTATGAAGAAGATGGAGACTCCCTTTTTACAAGGAGTCACACGGTGAGGACAAGGGGTAACGGGTACAAGTTACTCCCAGGCAGATTCCGACTGGACACGAGAGGAAAATTTTTCACAATGAGAACAGTCAATCATTGGAATAATCTCCCCAGGGAAGTGGTTGACTCCGCTATGCTGAACATGTTTAAGACTCAGCTGGATGTGGTGCTGGGTCATCTTGTCTAGATTGTGGTAGAAGGGTTGGACCATATGATCCTTGAAGTCCCTTCCAACCTGGTATTCTATGATTCAACATAACATTTAACAAAGTAATCTAACAAGCAAAAGCCTCATAGGAGGCGGAAAACAGCATACAATGCCAAAATGAGGAACTGGAAAAAAAAAAAAAGAAAAATAATAAAAATAATAATAAAGGAACCATGCTCCTGTGTCAGATATAACTTCTGTTTTGCCAGCAGCAATAGGCTTTGGTAGGATGTGAAAGAGAATTGCCTGACTCATCATTTATACTGGATAACCAAGGTTAAATGTCAACAACTGGGCTGCAAAACTTTGAGCAGGGACGGAAGGACTCTTGTTGTGAGCACAAGCCATCTGCCAGATCCCCAAACCACCCCGGCGTCGCCAGCAATGCAGAAAGACAACTCCTGCCCTCCAGCATTGACTGCATTTTGCTTCTCTACGGAGAAAACGCATGTGCAACAGTGAGAACAGTTTTTCTAAAAGCAGAGTGATTCTAACTTCTAAAAACCCAAAAACCTACTAAATGTAACTCAGGGTAATAATGAAGGCAAAATAAAAGGCTAACTTCCATCTTGCTTTGCTAAAGCTCTTATCATGTACCAAACTGAGTAACTAACTGTAAAATGAGGTCAAAGAAGAGACAGTACACTACTGACAGCACAAGCCTGACTTCTAATGATAGGCTGACCTCATATGACAGTGACCAAGAAAAGGCTAAGAATTATAACCCATTCTTCAGACACACGGACTTCAGTGCATGCCTTGCAATGTAATGAAGTGTTGGACCTCTCTACAACAACCTTAGACTTGCTCTAAGGAACCCAGAAGAATTCTGATACTATTTGTCAGAAACTCCTCTTTTTCTTCCTGCTCCCAAGGACCTCAATTTTCCAAACAAGCTTTGATCCCAGCTAACATCTCTGTTGCTAAATGGTATGTCATAATGCATGTCATCTAGTTTCAAGTATTTTCCCTTACAGTTATCCGCAATGAAATAAAAAAAAACCAAATTGACATACTCCTGCAATGTCGTTTCATAAAAGTTTTATCATTCTACTATCTATTGCACAGGGATCAAATGCCGAAGAATTCAGATTCATTGTTCCTGTTTTTCCCACAAGGTAATTATTGTTAGATTATGATAATCTCTGCTCTCAGTCAAAAAAAGCCATAAATAGCTATACTTATAAAATATGCCTCAAATGAATGGAAAGTAATTTATTGTACCTTAATTTCTGTACTCAGTTCACTTCCATGTCCATTTGTTTCAATGGATTAATAAAATATTTTGTCCATTTATGGCACCCAGCTTAATGAGACAGAGGCTGCATTTGCAATACACCTGCCTGCATCCCACGGGCAGAACAAAGTGTCTTGCTGGTTCATGCCAGAGCCAGGATTTAAGGAAAAGTACATTTTGCACCTCTAAACCAGACTCTAACAGGAGTAATTCATCTCTCTGTACAAAAATGGGTAATGCTTCCTCCCTACTATTTCCTGCCTTGTTTACTTATCAATTTCTTTACTTAAATTATTCAGAACTACATGCATTCTCCATTAATTCTGCGCTTCCGCCCCCCGCCCCCGGCATTTACTCCCTGCCATCCTGGTCTCATGCCAAACACCGTCAGATCATCTCAGACCTCCATGCAAGGTAACAGTTCTTCATTCTCTGTACCTATTGGTTTCATTTCCTGACCCCCCTTCAAACAGTAAACAAAAATTAAATATGCTATGGAAAAGATCCAGAACTAAATTCCCATGCACTTCTCAAATACCAGGCTTAAGGAAAGAAAAAAGCAAACAAAATGAAATGAGATGCACTACAACCACAGCTCATTCTCACCTGATCTTAACTTAATCGGGAAGTAGCAGCTGGAGGAATCCTGCTAGGACCAGTTGATGTGGTAGGACTTATAGGGCTGCTATTAACACAGATGCCCTACTGAGTTAGGTGCTATGGAAATGTATCAAGGAACAGTCTCCTGCTGTGAAAAACTTCTGTTTTAAATGAACAAGTCATGAAAACACAAGAGAAAATGAGTAAGAAGCCCAGGCTGGAGCATGGAACCTGAGATTTTCAGCACAGCAAATGTATTTCCAATGACTTAATCACACACTTTAATTACACATGGGCCTGTGTGGCTTACTCAAAGTCATGCCCTGGTCCTGAGACCTGACATGCACCCTCTGACCTCAGCTTGCACTTAGTTTTAAGCCCTTGGCAGACTCAGAATAAAAGAAGCCCAACAGAGCAGTTGACCACATAATTTTTTTCTCTCTCTCAAAGTCTTGTCTCCATCCTGCCTCTTGCTCCCTGCTCCCCGTGACATCATTAGAAAAATCTTTACCACTCTCCCATCAAGATTACCTGAATTGCAAAGTAATTTCCTTTTGGATTCCTCCATTTTTCATCATTGCCTTCCCTACCCCTTCCCCCATCTCAAAACATACTCCTCTCCTGATTCATATATCTTACAGACAACTGAACGTGATTTTGATTAGTATCCTAGAAGGATGGTAGTAATAATAAACACACCCAGAAAGCAGAAAAGATGTATTCTAAAAAGGTGCATGTTAATTAAAAAGAAAGTGTGGACAACATACAGCCCCTCCCCAGTCCCTCAGAGACAGGACAGGTGACAAGGAAAGTGGGACGGCAGCAACCAAACACTTTAAAAGAAACCCACCCAAAAAAAGCATCTTGCCGCTTGCAAGAAATATGAAATTCTAGAAGTTATGTGCAGGAAACGCAGAGCACCCAGGAGAACACTTCATACAGGGGAACTGCCACAAAGTGACACCGTGTTGGAGTGACACAGCTACCAGAGCTCTGCCCAACTGCTAGATCAATTTTAATTTAAGTACTCATAACTTTATGTCTTTCTACTCAAGCAAGACCAATAACCTTAAGCAACAGTCAATTCTTTAAAAGGCATGCAGAAAAAAAGAGCATCTACAATCTACAAGCACAAAGTGAGTTTCAAATTGACTTCACACTATTATAAATACCCTTAAGAATTAGCACTAGCAACATGCTGAGATGGATGTGGCCGGTGTTTTCCTCCTTCACTGCACAATCCTCTGCTGTACCTGTATACAGGAATCTTCAGCTTTTCAGCCATCCCCAGTCACTTTTCTTTAGCCTTCAATATAACTTTAGCTTTATGTTACTTATTTTCTTACATTCATTTCAGCTGAAGTGAGAGAATACCAAATTTTGTCTGAAATTGGAATAACTGAGAACTAAAACAAGTGTTATTCCCAAAAACCATGGACAAGAAAGTCTTCAGCAAAGGAATAATCTCAGCAGTTTAGCTACTGTGGTGTTTTCACAGAGTTGTTCTTCGCTAACCATATATACACACTGAATTAAACTGTTACCTTGTCTCATCCAGACAAAGTTTTGTTACTTGAAATTCTGGGTCTAGAGACAAAT